AAAATGAGGAGGTGCTCTCTGGGATTTACTCTCTATCTAGTTTTCTGTGAGTCTGTTAAGCCCTCAATATTGTATACTCATATGTGACAACTCCAACCCTCAGAGATCTTCTTAGGAAGGTATAGTGGGTTAAAGGGTGGTCCTCCAAAACATATGTCCACATCTTAGTCCCCAGAACCTGTGATGGTGAACTTATTTGGGGGAAAAAGGTGTTTGCAGAAGTAATTAAGAATCTTGAGATGAGATTATCTTGGGTTACCCTAGGTTGGCCCTACATCCAATGACAGGTATCCTAATATGAGACAGAAAAGGAGAAGACACACACACAGGAGAAGGCCATGTGAAGGCAGAGGCTGAGATTGGAATGATAGCCACAAGCAAAGGAACGCCAGGAAGCCACCAGGAGCTGAAAGGGGCAAGGACAGATTCCTTGAGTTTTCAAAGGGAGCACAACCCTGCTAACACCTTTGATTTTGGACTTTCGTCTCTAAAACTGTGAGAAGATAAATTTCTACTGTTTCAAGTCACCAATTTTATGGCAACTTGTTATGGCAGCCCTAGGAAACTAATACAGAAAATGAGGAAGGAAATGTAAGCACACAGCCCAGCAGTGAAGAGCACCTGCTTTGAAATTAGAGAACCACATTGGGTAACCTTGAGGGAGTTCCATCACTTTGCTAGTGTTGACTTCCCTCCTTTAAAATATAGATAAAAAGAGACATTGTTTTTTATACTTCATTTAAAAGTTTAAAACATAGTAGCTGTTTTATAAGGTGGTTTGTGAGGATGAAGTGAGATAATAGCACAGTGCCTGGTTCATAGTAAGTGCTCAATAAATGTTAGCTATGGTAATTAAGGCATTACATGTGTGAGATGGCAGTCTCTTCCTTTTTTGAATGCTGTCTTTAAAATTGACTTGGTGTTTACTCATATATTGGTAGGATAATCTCAAAAATGAAGCAGGAGACAAGACAAATCATACCATATGCTTCTGTGTCCAAATCTGCCTACACTTTTTAACAGGTGAATTCTGGTTATTATGAACATACAGGGCATCCTGAAAGGGAAAAAAAGGAGCAGTATGTTACCATCCACATGAACTATTTTCTTTTTTTTTTTAAAGATTTTTATTAGGGAATTGGGGGATGGGAACAGTGCTGGGGAATTAGGGGAAGGGGAACAGACAAGTTGCTGTCGTTTTGTTCTTCAGTCTAGTTGTGGAGGATGTTGCTTCACTGGCCCAAGTTGGCACCATCATTGCGCTCTTCCCGGGAGAGGCAGATCAGTCGCCGGCTTCTGGACGGCCGCTCACTGCGGCTGCTGGCCGCTCACGCTGGCTGCTGGCTACACACAGTAGCCCATGGCAACCCACTGCCACAGGGGCTGCAGCCTACGCCATCGTCGGCGACTCACGGCAGCCCAGCTCCAGGGTGAGCTGTTGTTCAGCATCTTAGCTGTGGAGGGCAGTGTCACTGGCCCTCATATGTGGGATCCGAACCAGGGCCCTCTGGCGTCCCAAGCCAGCTCTTAACCATCGCGCCACTTGGCCGGCCCCACATTAACTATTTTAAGGCTGTAGCACATGTATATATTTGGCATTTGCCATTCTGAATATACAAGATGACATGTGTATACTGTCATTTGCCAAATAAGAGGGCTTTGTAACTAGGGAAGTCCTAATCCTTCTCCTTTAAAAGAGAATAGGGCAGTGTCTCAACAGAGGATTTAAACAACGGAAGTGTTTTATTCCTGTCTCTAAAACTTAAAAAATGAATGTTTCTTGATTTTTCAGCTGTGACGGCCAAAAAAGGGCTGGGAAGGCATTAGCCAATCCCAGAGTTGCCTTGCTTGCTGCAAATCCAACCATTCTGAGTATAGGAGACAGAGCCCATAACCTGAGAAGATGATGTAGTACATATATGTGTAATAGAGATCCAATTGTGAGGTGGACAGCCACTCTAATTTGTATCTACCATAGAAACTCTTTTATTGACCTCAGAACAGGTGAAGGTCACCTATGTGCAGCTCCAACTACCTGGTCACCAGTCACCAGCAATCTGGGACTCAATGGCTTCAGAGTTGGGATATTTGTCTTAGTTTGCTTATACAATCACTCTAGACTACAGTTTATGTGATACTACCATTTATACTATAACTCTGTGTTAGTTCACTTTGAAAAGCAACTTGAACACAGAAACTGTGTTTTCTATTGTTTCAGGTGTACAAAGACAACATAGTGATTAAACATTTATATACCTCATAAAGTGATAATCCCAATAAGTCTATTACCCATCTGACACTGTACATAGTTATTACAATATTATTGATTATATTCTCTATGCTGTACTTTATATCCTGTGACTATTTTTTAAATTATAGTTGACATTCAATATTATTTTATATTAGTTTCAAGTGTACAACATAGTAGTTAGACATTAATATAATTTATGAAGTGATTCCCCCGATAAGCCTAGTACCCATCTGACACTATAGTTTTTACAATATTATTGACTATATTCCCCATTCTGTACTTTATACCACCATGACTATTTTGTAACTATCAATTTGCACTTCTTAATCCCTTTACCTTTCTCACTCAGTCTCCCAAACCCGCTTCCATCTAGTAAGCATCAGTTTCGTCACTATGAGTCTATTTTTGTTTTGTTTGTTTATTCTGTTCTTTAGAGTCCATATATAAGATGACATGGTATTTGTTTTTCTCATTCTGACTTATTTTACTTATGATGATACCCTTTAGGTCCATCCATGTTATTGCAAATGATAAGATTTCATTTTTTCTATGGCAGAGTAATAACTCCACTGTATAAATGTACCACAATTTATCCAATCATCATTTGATGGGCATTTTTGCTTCCATTCTTGGCTATTGTAAATAGTGCTACAGTAAACACAGAGGTGCACATATCTTTTTGAATTAGTGCTTTGGATTTCTTTGGATAAATACCCAGAAGTGGAATTGCTGGGTCATAAGGTAGTTCTACATTTTTTTGAGGAAACTCCATACTGTTTTCCATAGTGGCTGCACCAATTTGCAATCCCACCAATAGTACATGAGGGTCTCCCTTTTCTCCACATTCTTGCCAGCTCTTGTTGTTTTTTGACTTATTGATAATAGCCATTTTGACTGGTATGAAAATGTGGTTTTTATTTGCATTTCTCTGATGATTAGTGATGTTGAGCATTTTTTCACATCTGTATGCCCTCTTTGGGACATGCAGAGTTCCTGAATAGGAACTTTAAAAAATTTTTTAATTAAAAATCCCATTTTTTAATTGGATTTTATTTTGGTGTTATGTTTTTGGTTTTTTAAAATCCATTTTGTATATTTATCCCTTATCAGATGTATCATTGGCAAAAATCTCCCATTCAGTAGGATGTCTTTTTGTTTTGTTGGTGGTTTCCTTTGCTGTGAAAAAATTTTACTTTGGTGTAGTCCAATTTGTTTATTCTGTCTTTTATTTCCCTTGCCTGAGGAGATATATCAGTAAAAATACTACTAAGGGTAATGTCTGAGAGTTATATTTTTTTCTAGGAGTTATCTGCAAATAGTCACAGTTTTACTATAAAAAGTTTAATTCTTCCTTTCCAATTTGGATGCCTTTTATTACTTTTTCTTGTCTATTGCTGTGGCTAGGACTTCCAGTACTATGTTGAATAGTAAGTGGACACGCTTGTCTTGTTCCTGATCTTAAGGAGAATGCTTTTAGCTTTTCCCCATTGAGTATGATTATATAGAAGTGTATTACATTTATTGCTATGGAAATAAATTCACAGCATACTGTTTTGACAGAAAGTTAAAAAGCTATCTATCAGGAAGACGCTAATGTTTAAATAGAAAATATATGTGCACAACAAAATCGAAATGTGTATTTACCACCATGCAAGAGTGGGTTTCTCTGAATATCGCTGGCATCCACACATCATAAAAGCAACCTTTTCAGTAGGTGAATTGGTGAAGACATCTGAGATTGACCCAGAACTCAGTTATTATTTGTTTTACATTGTGTTTCATATTTTCCTGTTAACTTATTGTATAAGAGCCTAAAACCTGAATGTGCTGGCAATATACAGTATGGCAAGGGTAAATGACTTTTAATTATAGTTAAGAGAAGGAAGCTGTGATGAGTGTCTTGAGATATAGCTGAATAAAGTTTCTCAAGAAAAAAGGAAAAAGAACTACTGAAGTTGATGTTTTCTGATTCTAAGGGGTTAAGGTGAAACAGGAACTTGGTGGCGAAATTGAACTGGAAGTCAGGAATTTTGTGCAACAATCGTCATCTTTAGACAATAATTTCATAAAATGGAAAAAGCACGGCAGGGTGGTGGTGGGAAGAGTAAGGAGAAAAGCAGGGAAATTGTCCTAATGAGACCTAAGGTCCCACTAGCTCTCATAGGGTTAATTCTCACAAAGAATTCTAAGTCAGCAGAAGCCCCCTCTTCCCAAGCTCAGCCCAGTACTCTGGTAGGTCCAGGTCTCTATCCAGACGCTGTAAACAAAAGGAAACGACCTCTGGGCCCGGACCTTTCCTCCTGGGGTGCGTGTGCCCTTAAGGCGGGTGGAGGCGTCTCCGAGCAAGGAACCTGTGAGGTAATAATGCAAGACGCTGCGCTTTGAAGTCCATGGTTCTACGTGAAAACCAGTCCTACGAATCTTTCTTGTAGGAATCGTTGGCCGTCGTTTGGTCCTGCCTCTCTCGGGGACATTGGCGCCATCCGGTTGACTGAGGTGGGACCCCCACCCAGGGCTGCGGTAACCAGAAGCGCCTCCACACACGCTTCGGAGCTTTCGAGAGCCAGCCCTCGCTTAGTGCGCAGGCGCAGAAAACTGGTAGCCACGGCTTTGCGATCACGCCCCCTCCGTGATCGGCAGGCGCCGTGGGCCGTTTACTTTCGAACCTCGGCCCCGCGCTCTTTCCCATTGGCGAATTCTACCTAGTTGAATGTTGCCGGGAGACTGCGCCTGCGTCATGAGGCTCTGCGAAGCCCCGCCCCGTCTAGGCACCTGAAGTTCCTCGGCGCGGAGGAGGGCGGGGAGACTAAGCTGCTTTCAGCGTCCGCTTGGAGGCCAGCGAGCTCTGTTTCGGCTTGTGAAGTTGCTTGGTTTCTCCCTCTGCGTGGTGAGTCTAAGAATCTTCTCTTCGGGTCCGGGAAGTCTGCCCTGGGCGCCTCTTCTTTCCCTAGCAGAGGCTGGTGTATAGGATGTGTTTGAAGGAGAGTGGAGGGGCGTGATGATGGAGAGAGTGGGCTTGGCTCTTGCACCTATTCCCTCTTGTCCCGGATGGGGAGTTTGGGGAACCTCGTTTTCTTCCCTCCAGTATGAAATTACATTCCTGTGAGGGAGAAGGCCCTCTGTGTTGGTGAGGGTGAGAGGAAGTGGGACTCCGCCGAGCTGGTCGGCATCGCGGGGTTTTGGGGCGAGGGCGCCGAGGTGGTGGAGGCACATTAGGAGGGAGGCCCGGAAGCATTTGTCATAAACCTTAGAGAAAGGGAAGGGAAAGGGGACTGCTATTTTGAGCCCTTTCTCTGTGAGAGGTTCTTTGAGGACTTAACAAGAGGGTAGGTGTAATTGTGCCCATTTTACAGATGTGAAACCCCAGTTGTGACATGCATTGGGTAAAACTGACCCAGGGTCCCACAACATTTAAACGGCACAATTGAAAGATGAACAGATGTATTGATAGTAAAAAACTAAATCAATATTTGTAGTTTTAAGCTGGCAAAATCTTTCAGTGCCATGGATGCTTCTTGTCTTGCTGTTAATTTTAAGCAATCTAAAATTACCATGAATGTTTGCTCTGTCATCACCATTGTTGGCTAATATTTTTGGGAGCTCAAAAGATACTTGACGGTATAAACGAGACCCTTTATGACAATTTGGTCATAGAACTGTTGGGACTTTCAAGGTACAAATGATACATCTGCTGCTCCAACAACTGTTGATATTTGTCATTACTTTTCTAAAAACACAATGAGGCATAGGGAAGGCAAACATCAAAGAGTGAAACAACCATTCCTATGATATCCTATTTAATATATTTTTTGAGGATGTACATTCTAAAACATTAAGATAAAATTATTTTAATTTTGGAATAAGAATAAAAGAATCTGAAAAAGTTGGAGAAGATAACATATATTCAGTATTCAAGCCAGAAGATCAACTAAGGAGGTAAGCCCTGGAGGATCAAGTGAATAAGAAAGAAATTTTCAGGAAACTTTTACTCTCTGGTTAAATTGCATTAATAGTTTCTTTTTGTTTTGGGAAACAGGTTGATGTAAAAAAAATAGTACAAATGGGCAGAGTTAAAATCAGATCTGACCATTGAATTTTTTTAAAAACTTGAGTTATGGTGATCCTTCATTGCTTTTGTACATTTATATGTACAAAAGTAGTTTTAAAATCTTTCCCTATGTATATAGAATGCACAGTTGTAGTATTCCTAAAGTAAGTCTTGAATTTCATGAAATGTGCTTTTTATCAATTAGGGCCACAAAAAACGTGAGCCCCAATCTGGGTGGTGCCACCTCTTGAATTTTCCCAGACTTGTAGCTGACTCATAGTGTAAGTCCCTAGAGCAAGTCATCTAACTCTATAATGTGGTAAATATAATTTTTTTTCAGAGGTTGTAAAATGTAATGAATGTTTTATAACCACTCATGTTTGGAGATGAAAGGCAATAACACATTAGTGAATTAAAACTTAAAAAATAATTTACACAGGAGAATGGATAATGATATTTTTGGTACTGTTTAATTCTCCATCATGTTATCAGTGCTGACCATCCATAAGAGGCTAGGTAGATATTGTGGAGACTCCGGAGGAAATCAGCCAGCCCTCTGGAGAAAGACTGCGAGAAAGTTTAAAAATTCAGAAGTGTGTTTGTTTTCGACACTTAAACACAAGAAATTTGTGAAATAATTTATCAGTAAATGATTTTAGCCTCAGGTTTCTTTCTGAAAAGGTATATTTTTTATATTTATATTTCTTGGTGACTTTTAAAAGAGAAGCAGGAAATCCTGAAATAAGTTAATTTTTTCTTGAGCTTTTAGTACTCACTGGAGGAAAATAACATTTTATATAGGTTATTTTTATCTTATTCTTTTGCTTTTTAAAATTATGAAATAATACAAATTGATTCTAAAATTAATTTGGCAGAGAAGGGGCTGGATAATGGCAAGAAAGTTAAAAAATTTTAGAGTTGTGCAACTATCACCACCATCTATCTCTAGAACTTTTTCATCTTCCCAAACTGAAACTGTGTCCCCACTAACAAGAACTGTCCATTCCCTCCTCCCTCTAGCTCCTGGCAACCACCACTTTACTTTCTGTCATTGTGGACTCTTTATTGGTTTTATGTGCATTTTTTCACATCTGATGTGATTTTCTCCATTTCCCTAACTGAATAATTTTCTGTTACTGAATTAAGTTTATGTTTCCGGAAAGAACCTTATTTGGTCATTGTACCGTATTTTTTTAATGTACTCTGGGATTTATTTTTGCTAATGTGTTCAGGATTTTACATTAATGTCCACTTTTCAAAGTATTTTTACCTTGTATTGTCTTTGTTAGGTTTTGGAATCATGTTATACTATCTTCTAAACAACTTGCAAACTTTATATCTTTGTATTCTGGAACAGTTGAACAAGAAATTGTTTCTTGATCATTTGAAAGATCTCACCAGAGAAGCTTGACCCTCCCCCCTTTTTTTCAGAGTAGCTCTTTTTCAACCTGTAAATTTCTCTCATAGTTTGCTTTATCTTCTCACATCTTTGGTATTTAAAGTGACATATGGATTTCAAATATGGTAGCATAGAGTTATGTAAGAAATTCTATAATTTTGACTTTTTCTCTACTTGGTTTTTCTTTTTTCAACGCTAACTTTGTACACTTATTGTTCCTTTCTTTTCCCTCTTGATTTGGATAGGTTGACAATTAAGTTTGCCAGCTTGCCACCGTACGCTTACATTGGCAACACCGTACAAACAGTTTGGTAAAGTTTCATAACCTTGGTATATCTGTCTCACAGATGTGTTCGTGTTGACGTGTGGCTGTGTCTTAGCTGAGTGATGTTCATTATTGTGTGTTTTTGTGTGCCATTGCAAGAATGTCTGGGCTTGCACTAGTGCAAAGAACAAACATTAAAATTCTTGTTAAACTTGGCAAGAGTGGAAGTGAAATCAGGGACATGTTAGTCTAAGTTTATGGGATAATGCCATGAAGAAAACGGCAGTATACAAATGGATTAAACATTTTTCTGAGGGGAGAGAATGTGTCACTGATGAAGAGAGGTCAGGGTGGCCAGTAACGAGTAGAACTGATGAAAACATTGCAAAAATTCGTCAAATTGTGCGTCAAAATTGTCAGCTTACTGTGAGAAGCATAGCAGACCAAGTAAATATTGACAGAGAAACAGAAAAATCTTAACTGAAAATCTTGGCACAAGAAAGGTATGTGTAAAAATGGTCCTAAAGGAGCTCCCCGATGAACAAAAGCAAAGGAGAGTTGAAGTTTGCCAAGACCTTTTGGAGAGGTAAGATGTTGTTTTGAGCTGTGTTATCATTGGTGATGAAACAGGGTGTACCAATACAACCCTGAAACAAAGTGTCAGAGTGCCCAATGGAAGTCAGCCAATTTTCCATGACCAAAAGAGTTCCATCAGTCCAAATCAAGAGTCAAAATGATGTTGCTAACCTTTTTTGATATCAGGGATTATTCATTATGAATTTACACCAACTGGACAAACAGTTAAATAAGTTTACTGTTTGGAAGTACTGAAAAGGCTGAAAAATGACCTGAACTTTTCGCCAACAATTCATCACATGGCACTGTCTGTGAGGGTGTGTTTAGCCAGAAAATAAATAATTGTATTGGAACACCCTCCCTACTCACCTGATCTTGCCCCCAAGGACTTCTTTCTTTACCTGAAGATAAAGG